GGTTCACTGAGCAGTTCCGAGTTAGTCGACAGGGATCTCTCACTTCGCAAATGTACGAACCATATTCGTAGAGATCCTTGATGACGGCCGAGAAGCTCTTCTTCGTCTCCTTGTGCAGATTTGAGACCGCGATACGGGCTGCTAGGATAGCGTAGTCCGGGTGCTTGGTGGTCATATATGCAGCGGTCTCTGCTGCAAGGTTCTAGGAGGAAAAGTTGGAGCGAAACGCGGGAGACTTGCGTAACTAATACTCACATCGAGTTCCACTGTTGTGACACCATGATAGACACCCGCAATGACCTTCTGCGCAATCCTGCAATGACCTTAGTGAAAGCCAAAAGGTTGCTCGTAGATCTACGCACGCCACTGGATCAACGTATTCAGTGTCGAGACCGTAGCAGAGCTTCTCGATACGCGCAGTGATCTGTTTAGGCCGTACCATCAGCTGAGGTCGATGCGAAAAGTGAGACGACGCGTACTTTGTCAAATTGGACGCGTTCCTTGCGACTGTAGAGGTTAACACGGTTAGTCCTGCCCAGTGATGCACCTAATGACGCGTAAAAAGGCCACTAACCCATCTGCGCGAAGGAGAGGCCGGGAGGCAAGGGTGTCAACGATGTTGATGGCAACGGCGGCGGGTACATACCTCGTTTGAAGACATAAGCCATAGCGTAGCGTAGAACGAGTTTTGGCGTACAAGGAAGGGGGTATGCGTGTAGGTAGAAGGGGGATGGTGAAAGTTGTGGTTGAAGGTGGACGCGCGACGCGAGAAGTCTTAAATAATAATTAATAATAATCGCGATCGTGGGAAAATCAAAGACACGTTGACCAGGCGCGTCTTACTCTTTCTTTCCTTCTGTTCGCCGCCACCACCGTCTCAAAGATGCCCGGGTATAGTGTCCCCTACGTCCACAGCGGTGACCCGGGCTATGCCCCGCCAGTACTCCGCGCGCCGTCTCCAACGGACTCGATCGGCACAGACTATGGTCCTGACGAGACGACCCCTGATGAAGAGCGTCTTTCCGATGCCGAATTCGCCAAAATCTGCCAACAGCGCCTTCGCTTAGGAGACATGCGCCGAGAAGAGAGGGAGGCTGAGGCTGATCCTTTGCTGCAGAAACCGAAAAATCCGGATGAAGAACGGCGTGCGTCAGCTATAGCCTGGCTCCTTGTTGTCATGCCTTAACACTTTACTTAGGCTTGTATCAGAAAGTTTTGTATGACCTTAGGATGCAAGTCAGATGCTTGCAGGAGGATCATCTTTTTGAGCAGACGCTTCTGCGCAGTTCCGTCGTTGCAGATGAACGACAACCGATGTCCAACAATATAGACGCTATTCTCCAGAGTATGATGGGCCCGTCTACGAACTCCGCTGCTCAGACTCCCATCACTCCTGCACATACCCCTCTGCCTGCCCATGACGACTTCCTGTCTCCGAAGATGATGCCAAACTTCCCCGACTTCCCCTCTCCCAGTGTTACCGATACCTCTATGACGTTCCCCGAGCCCACCTCTGCCATGATGCCTCAGTCGAGCAGCACCCCTGCGATCGGTAGAAGAGTGACCAGAAACATGACACGGACTGGGCATCGCTGACTTCCAGATTTTGTTCACTCTCTGTCTTGCTCTTATCCTGTAATGCCCCACTATATGCTGCATCTCTCACAAGCTCGAGGCATCTGTGCTGCTTTCTCTCAGCTCAGTTGCTTGAGCACTACCGCGTAGATGTGGTGTTGAAAAGCTGCTCTAAGCATAGAGCCTTGCCCTTCCCTCCGGTTAGTGGCCAACCCCTCGGTATGCGAGCTGAGCTGCGAAGTTGGGACACGTCTCTACGGCTTGCGACTCCGACATTATTGACACTTGCCGTTTCTGCAGGCATGGATGAGCATCGTTGAAGCTTCAGTATCGTTGCCGGACACCTCAACGCAAGATTTCTCTCCACCGAATGACGGCCAGGGCTTCAAGCGCCCGGCAAGCATTAAGCGTCGATGCGGCAAACGTGAACTTCAATTCGCGACTGTGACACTGGAGAGCGGACTACGGTGCGTATAGATCAATATAGGATTTTCTTGGCTGCCGCCTAACCGTGTATGAACTGGATATCCTGATTTCCACGCTCAATGAATGGGTGGGAGTCTTTCCGCCCCTCGACATTCGCCTGATCCTCAGCCTGTCTCTTGCATGTGTTGTGCACTTCATACGGACTGCATCTCATCGATTTGCTGTACATTTTATGATCACAGCATAGGCGCACTGCATTAACGAGCCATCCAGGTAGAGAAACCTAGCGAACGATGTAAGGTTTCCGGGGTCATGACAAAGAAGCGCCCCGTCCTCGGGTTCTGAGCGACGAAGACATCCTCCTGCTGAGGTTATATTTATTGCGTTTAGACGGACGGACACAAATTGTAGGTCTGGATACATTTAGGAGTTTTTCTATGTAAATCGCGAGACAAGATCGATGAGTACTAGTGCGTCTGAAGAAGCGACGCCAGCCACTCGTCGCAGCCTGCGCTCGCCGGGATGTGGGCATGTGAACTGCGATAAAATCTCGCTGCTGCTTTGTAGTAGGTAGCGGCTAGCTTTACGTACATCGCTATCCCGGATCTCCGGCACGGGTGGGCGCCGTTCGGATTTGGAACAAAGTGGAGGAAATGTGCGAGTCTTAATGGCTTGGTTTGTCCGGGTAGCAATGCCCCGCAATCTGGTCGTCAGCGCGTCAGCTCTGGTGTAGATATGTGCTAAATATAGCACTTCGCAACATTTAGCAATCTACGTCTATCTCGCATAGTACTTCTACTTCTCAGAGGCAGCAGATGTGTCGTCTCTCTTTGACAGTCTCGTTACTCTCGTACTTCCATTGTCTACGATCGCGCAGCAGGAATACCCATCCGATCGCAGCAGTTGCCTGACTACCCGACCCGAAAAGTTCGATCACATATGAATCATGCTATGATTGGCAGGATACATAATAACAGTCAAGACGTCGCCGCGCTACGCCACTGACACCGTGACGCTCTCAGGCTAGCGCATCGTTGAGAATGCCCTCATGCTTCTGTGCGACTCAGCGTACAACACTTGTCTAGATCGTTCCTTAATAAATCCTTGCCGACTGGGCTGTGTCTCTTGCCGTAAGGATGCCACGCTTTAAAAACCTACCGCAGCTAGCAATCGACCTCTTCATCCACCACAGACTGGACACGCTAGCAACGGCACTAATATTAATCCGATGACGTACTGGCTCGCCCACGATGTCATTGAGGCCATCATGGCTTGGCTGATCGAGATGAGCTCATTCCTCCTCGGCCTGTACATGTACGGTGCGCATGCTCATGCATTTGCGTCAGGTACTAATGGGCACTACATAGCTGGTATCTCATCCTATCCTTCCACAAGGTCGAACTGGAATTGCTTACGCGAAAAACAAATCTGCGGCTCGTGCATGTACGTAGCTATCAAATCCTAGCGGATGTCGTTCGCTAAAATTCAAGGACGGAATCAGGTGCCATACCTACTAGGTCGTTACGCCCACCTTGCCATGCTGCTCACGATGTAAGTCATCCATACGTTGTCTTGGCCGTTAATATTGAGCACCATGCGTTTCAGTGTTTCAGTAATACCGTTCGCCATCGATAAACCGCTAGCATCGACTGGGTGTGCAGGCTCAGGTTCGCTCTCCCCGTCTCCCTCAATCCCTTACTTCCCATGCTGAGCCGCATGCAGCAGTCATGCGATTTATTGTGGTAAGAAACCAGAATGCGCTCTGTGACTCGCTCTGACACAACATTTTAGGCAGCAGGTAACACAGCACTATCGGCATCAAGCTGCAACCTCGCTCTGCGCGCGTGCGTGGTGCTCGTCCCTTACCTCTCAACGCTGGCCTGACATTGAAGCCTAATACAGCATGGTCCTCTGGAAAGAAAATATAGCTGTAATCTGGTTTTTGCGCTGCCTAAGCTTTCTCCATTTTGTCTACTCCGTCGTCCGTAAGACCGAGTTCATTGGCACGTGGGGTTTTGCTTACGAGGTCTAACTCATACCACGGCAGTGGGTAGCACAGGCGTCACGGAAATATGGGACCCTGACAAGATCTTCTGCACAATAGCACTAGCTCCACGAGCCAAAGGTGCTTTCCTAGCTTATTTTGTGTGCAGTAAGTAACCGCCACGCATGCGCGGAGCCTCTCAGATACTGATTACGATGATTCTAGCCCTGGTCTGGGATACTTCCATCCTGGCACTGACAGTATTCGGGATGCGGACAAAAAAGCTACCGCCAGAACTTCCGCTTCGATCTGTGCTGCTTTCGCAGGGTATCATGTACGCATCTATTACGGCCCTTACCTGCATTCCTATGGCGGTAAGTCTGTGGCGCCTTGTTTGGTTTCGGCAGATCTCAGAACGGATGCACTAGGTCATGGCATACCTGCAACTAAATGGTAAGCCGCTGGTTGATTGCAATCGCGGTGTAAGCTAATCGACAAGATCCAAACAGAGATCATGAATATTGTTCTTCTTCCACTCGGTGAGCCTCCATGATTACTCAGTCACATCAACAATTTAAGACGTTCATCCGCGTGAAGGCTGTACTATCAGGTCTGTTGGTCGTGGTCCTACTGAGAGTGCCAGGCTAAGCTCTGGACAGTGTTATAGTTTCTTCCGAAGCTGTCGCGTCACTGTTGCGCGCAAAGGAAGTTAAACATCCGAGGCATGTTGCTTCTCACGTTACTGGGGAAGCCCAGCTCATCTCCAGATCGGATATACAGGTTGTCGCAGCAAACTACGCAGTGGTCGTACCATGTCGGTATATTCAGCACCATTCCTCCTGGGCTCGAGACGCAGGTACACGACACAAGGTAGCAGTGCGAGTCGTAATACGAGCATGTGTTCAGCAATAGAGTAAGGCTTCGGAACTGTGTACGAAATGAAGAAATCTACAACGATAATTGTTGTCGCAGTAAAATATCTGTTTTACAGAATGATACACCCAAGTCTCCCAAAACCCAATCAGAAATTAAGATACTCACGGGGTTTTACTAACCCGAAGTATCCTCGACAAAATAATCCGGCAGCTCCTCCTCGATTGTCCGGATCTTCTCCTGGATCACCCTCCGCACAATCATCCGACAGTCTTGGTGCATATACGCCGCGCTCCCCCATCTCACAAACTCCTTCGATATCGCCTTTAATCGCCCAAGCACATCCGCCAGGCCGTGCTGCATCACCGCGTCGCTCCGTGTCTTCTCCTTCCAGAAGTCAAGCCAGCACTGTGTGCAGCCGTGCTGGTGCCATGTGGCGCTGCACGCCGGCGCATGCTCAAACGACGGCGGCGTGGCGCGCAGCTCTTCCCAGATGAGCGTGAGGCGATGGTACCCGGTGAGCAGCCGCAGCTTCTGTTCCGGGGTGACGATCAGCCTGCCCTCGGCGTCAGGGACGTTCCTCCGCTCGGGCGCCGACGCTCCGCGGCTGCGCACATCCAACGAGGTGCGCGGTACGATGCTGTTGTCGCTCTGCATCACTTCGAAGTAGGCGATGCCGCGCAGCGGGCGCAGGTCCAGTTCGTCAGCGAGCGTCATCGCGAGATGTGCGTACTGGATCGAGTGGCCCATGAGCACCTTGAGTACGGCTATCATCGTGTCCAGCAGCTTCTCATGCGCGCACAGCTGTGCGAGACGCATGAGCCTCGATATCAGCGCCCCGTTACTCACTATAGCCTGAGGACTGGCAGCCTGAGGCGCCTGCGAGGCAAATGGGCTCGAAGCGATCGCCGACCCTGACGATGTATTCGATGAATGAAGGAGAGCGGACGCCGACGAAGGGAGGCAGAAGATCGATGGAACTGGTTTGCGGTTCACTTGCTCATTGATAACATCGAGTGCCCAGGTCTCGAGAGAGCGAAAATGGTATTTGAACGATACTCGGGCGATGTCAATCAGACGGTTCAGGCGGGCCAAGTCAATCTGTGGACCCGTAATCTCCGCAAGTTCGTGTGGTCTGCAATCAACACACCATTAGACGACATTGTGAAGTGCCGGGACTTGAACGTACGCACAAGGCGTACAGAACCCAGAGGAAGTTCTTGAACTCTGAGACGGTCTCCCCGGAAAGGTGGATAGGGCACTCGTCTGAAATGCCCTCTATCTCATGCTCTCCCTGCGGCAGGGAAAACATGGAACTGAACAGGGAGCCATCTTTTGCCAGTAGAGTGCGATGTACCTGCGACCCAAGTCGACATGTATGAGTGACAGCACTACTGTGCAAGGACCAGACGCACATTGAACAGTGTATTTTGCACCCTCAGTATGCAGCTTCCGTCTTGGAGATAGTACGTCTCGTCCCTTATCGTTGGTTGATTCCGCGGCTCACTGGCAGGGCTACCAAAACCTTGCAGCACAGCATCGGGCTGCTGGCCGCTGAGAGATACTTGGAGCATCTCTTCGACTTCCTCGTCTACCCTCGTCCGTTTCGTAGACGAATCAGATATATCGGACGCAAGGCTTGACGTTCGTGAACGCTTTCCCGTCGTGCTCGGGGGAGAATCCATGATGGTGGGATGCGAGGAGAGAGGTCGGCGGTATTTGCTATCCTCATAAAGTGATGATCCATGAATGTGCGAATGGTGGCAGCCCGAGCCCGAGGCCCGGTGTTGGCCCTAGTTCGCCGCAAGACCTGGGAGAGGTGGCACTGGGCGGCGTTGGCAGGGAGTCGCGTTTGCAAAGCAAGCTGGGCGCAGGATCGAGCCCGGGTCGTGAGGACGTTTAACGGAGATCTCCGGTTATAGATGGTAACTTTGACGCGCCGTTTGATGCGCTCTTGCGATCCAGGCGAGCCGCAGCCAGCGACGCCGCTCAACCGGGCTTCCCGGCTGTGGGAGATGTCGCACGCCCTTTGGCATCATTTCGAAGGCATATGGCTACAGAACCGCGTGGGAAGAAACTGCTAGCGTGTTTATCAGCAGCAAGCTGTCGCTTTTGTTCGTACGGCCACCAGGACAGCTGACGCGAGCACGGCGCCCTCTCTCTTGTCCAGTCCTGCAGCCAGCGGTCAACATGCCTTTTGGCGCGGTCAAGCTCAACGATGGCAGTGAAGTCAGCAACAGCACCTGTGCGTTCATGGGCGTTCGGAGGCTGACCGAAACTTCTAGATGCCCACTATTGCCTATGGTACAGGCTCGAAATGGAAAGGACATGTAAGTGCCGCTTACTGTACGTACGGTGCAAAAGGGCGGTGTGATAACAGCTTTATAGGAGATGACTCAATTCATTGAGCAAGCGATTGACGTTGGGTTCTCGCACATTGATTCAGCACAGTGTGAGTGACATCTACACCCGAGCTACTGCAATATACAGTCTAGACTTATGTTTCTTTTGCTTAGGGTACGGTACAGAAGGAAACGTTGGCGCGGCCATCAAGGAAAGCGGACTCGCGCGTTCAGAGCTATTTATCACCACCAAGTATTCTGGCACCGGCACTGCCCCTGAGGCCATACAAGCTAGCTTAGAAAAGGTAAGCCTGATATGAACTCTTGGGCTACGTACCTCATCTTTTGTCCGAAGCTTGGGCTGAAATATGTCGACCTTTATCTCATCCACAACCCAAGATCTGTCGGCAACGTCGCGAAGGTCTGGTCTCAGTTTGAAAAATTCAAGGAGGCAGGATACGCAAAGTACGCGCCGTTTCTTCCTCTGAGCTGCTCTGCTGTCGCCAGGATGCTCATCACCACGCAGGAGCATCGGCGTGAGCAACTTCCAGCTGGACCAGCTGAAGTCGCTTCTTACTGTCGCGAACATTGTCCCAGCGGTTAACCAGGTGCTTCTATTGATACACTTCATACTAGAACACTGTCTTACCGACACTCGCAGATCTTTTTAAATCCATACAACTTCGCTGAGAATAAGGCTTTGCTCGAATTTTCGAAGAAGCACGGGATCGTGACCGAAGCCTATAGTAGTCTGGCGTACGTTACTGCACTTGGCGTAGGTTTGCGATGATTCAAACATTACGGGCAGGCCAATCACACGTTACCCCGGAGGCCCGGTTGATGAGCCTGTCAATGCCGCTGCTAAACGTCTCGGTGCCATGCCGACCCAGGTCATTCTTTCCTGGGTGCGCAGCAAAGGCGTCGCTATTGTCACGTATGTCGTACAATCCTCCTATTTTTGTGAAATGGGACCATTGGCTAACAGCCGTTTCGTAGGACGAGCTCTACCAAAGCACACATGAAGGAGTATCTCGATACCGCTGACCTTCGTATGCCACTTTTCTCCTCTTCGCATGACTGCAAGCTAACAACTCTCTACAGCACCATTGACCGAAGAAGAGATAGCTGCTATTGACGAGGCGGGGAAGAACGGCCCACCCTCAGAGCTGCGAGTTCTTCTCTACCGACTCCGCCAGTACTGGAAGCCTCTTCTCTTCTTCCTTTGCATTTATCTATCTTTTTGGGGCCCAGCTATCCTGGCTCGCTTTGTCCCTTCCGGCTGTCACAAATTCACACAGATGTGAAGTGTTTCTTAGGATGACTCAGCTTGCGCGTTATGGTTTCCCATGTATCAGATCCCTGGTGGCAGAGTATAACGAAGTAGACGCGGCGAAGTAGAGTTCAATGTCAATTATGAATGCAGTATTCAAATACTTATCGTGGGAAATCTCGAGGTGTGAACCCCAAACTGTCGCCTTCACTAGTGCAACTGAACGTCAACCGACTTGACAAGACCTGCACAAGGTAATCACCCCTTGTAACTCTTGTTACTACGCCTAGCTTGCATATGTGCATAAACGCTTACATGTGATTAGGACAGTACCCGCTATCAAATATGACTGAGCTCTCTGAAGATCATCGATGCCGCTATACGAGCCCGTGTCGGTAAATCCTCCTCTCCCTGGATAAGTCAAAGCTCACGTTTCTTGCTGTGCCTTGTTCCTAGCGGTAACACGCTCTCCTAACCTGCCGTTGGAACTCTACGTCATAATCTTCGACCAACTCCAACCTTCTCTCATGGACATGTCCTTGCGCGAGTACAAGTACGCGATGGCACTCTTGTCTCTCGTATGCAGAGCGTTCAGAGACGAGGGCCAGAAACGTCTCTTCCGGTTCATCGCATATCACAAGAATTTCGAGCTGGGAGGGAGAGAATCAGAGTACAGCCTTCCAGCCTCGCGCCAGCTCTGGCACGACCTGCTGCATAGCGGCAATACCCGAGCTCAACACCTTGCCGGATATGTTCGCGAGTGCACGTTCACCTCTACTAGCTGGACAGCCGGGAACGATTTCACCACCCCCACTTTTGTCCCCGCGACGCTGCATTTTCGTCGCATGGAAAAGGTTACGATACGAGACATCATAGTCAACGCAAGCATGCTCATCACGCTCGTTGGCATGCCTTTCCTTCGTACTGTCACGATAGAAGAAGGCGCACTCGTCGCCGGATCCGCAGACCTGCAGTTCCGTGCAGCTCTGGCACCCTCCACGAGCAAATGGACAAGTTTCACCTTCAAACCAGCTTTCTTCGGGACCGCGTGGTCAGGCTTTCTGCAAAAGATTGTGAATTTGGACGGTCTCGAATATCTGTCGTACGACGTCGGGCGAATCAATCCTGCGCTAGTACTGTTCCGATCCGACTCTGTGGTGTTGTGTCTCAAGGAGCTGTTCGTTCGCCTAGAGAGCAGCTTACTGACTGGGCTGGTTCCTATCTTGGAGCGCGCCCCTAGGCTCTTCCGGCTATCAATATCCCATCGTCACTGTCCGGATTCTACGACATGGCAGCAGCCCAATCCTCTTCCGCTGAGTATCATACCCCACTTACAAGAACTAATTACGACGCATGAGAGTGTGGTCTCGTGGCTACTTCCAGGGAGGTCCGTGTCATCGTTGACAATCAGCGGTGATGCAAGTAGCGGCGAAGCGTTCCTCGCCGCTACAAAAACCTCCGCAGCCGGCATACGCGAGCTGAATATCTCTGTCAACCTGCTATACATAA